TAGACCGTTGACCTCGCATCCCTACGAGGCGGGCACGGAGCACGTCGGGTTCTCACGGGACCAGGCTCTCACATCACCAAGCGCGAAGCGCCGTGAGGTATTCGACGAGTCGCATGAAGGGTGCGCTGCATCCTGCTAAGCATGTTTGGCATCTTCTGCTTACTTCCTACCGTACGGATGACAGCTGCGTATGACTTAATTTATTTTCTGGTGCTTTCACTTCCAGAGACAGTTGCAAGCGCTGTGTAGCTGCCTCGAGGGTGCTTTACCGTTTTAACACAACGTGCGATTATCCCGTTTGCGCGGAGTGACGGTTCTCGACCCGCACAACATAGTCTACTCGACCACCATTCATGGTTACCGCAAAAAAAAAAAAGGCAAAAAAAAAGCGGCAACCTGGTTGCTGAGCTCACGAAGTGATCGGATTGTTTTACAACATCGCTGCCAAGCAACGAAAACCCAACCCCGATGGCAAACATCGCCTGCGGTGGGAGGGTGGATGTTGCTTTTCAACGTTGTTGCAAAGCGACGAAAACCCAGCCCCGATGGCAAACACCGATGGGGGTGCAGGGGCGGGGGGTGTTATCATCAGCTGGCAGCGCAAAAAAAAAATCCTCTGTGTTCCTCACTCTGGTTTCGAGCTTTGATCGAGGGTGGCCAGACTAGCACGGAAGGCACAGGTGGCACCTTAGGCCCTCGCACACAAGTATAGAGAGGTTTACAGCAGTACATACATCGTCAACGGTGGTGACTAGCAGCGTGTTGGTGTGCCTCTGTCCTCTCTCTAGCTAGTGAAAATAGTGCTGCTGCTCTTCTCTAGTCCAAACGCACAACAGCACAACATACGCTTCTTCTTCTATCCTCTCGCTTCCTCCGCCGATAGCCATCAGCAGTAGTAGGGGCAGACCCTCCCGCCTCGCTCTCCCGGTGGTGTGTGTGTGCCCGCCCTCCTTGTCCTTGTTGTTTCTTCCCTCTCTCTGTGTAGTGTGTGTCTTGTCACTGTAGCCCGGACTGGTCGCCGCGGCTGCCTTTCTCTCTCGCGAGAGTAGGCACACAAAAAACACCAGACCAAAAATAACCAGAACGCGTCTTCTCTCCTCTTCGCCTCCGCCGTTGTAGCTACACCCGCCAGTCAACGGCTCCAGCCTCTCTCTCCCTCTGGTGTTCTCCCTCCCCCCTCGTCCTAACTGCTGGGTGTGTTTGTCTTGGCAACAGCAGCAGCAGCAACAGCAGCAGCAGCAGCAGAACTCGGTTGTTGGGCGGGGACGCTTGCTTCCCGACTTCAAGTTCGGCACAGATGCCTTCTTAACTCGATGCATTGAGCACGGATTGAGCTGGAAGCAGTTGGGACAGCCCCGGCAAAATATTTCTTGTTGTGCACAAGTCTTAGATTGCAACTTGGTGCCCGGTGGTGAAATGGGCTCCAATCTCCTGGGTACTCAAACACCATCCGACGGACAATTTGTGGAATGTTCGCCTCCCGGGTGCAATATATTTTGTTTTTCCACGTACGTACATGTGCATCGCGATCCCTCTTATCAGCTTTTTTCCTCTATAGGCGCTCCTCAGAAAAGCTATTAAAAATAAAAGCACGAGAATGAATGAAATATCATTGAATTTGAAGCAGACGAATCAAAACGGTACGTGGTACGAGCGGCGGAATCGTAGGATGCGGGCATGCAGCCGACTCGCGATTGCGCGCCCCTTGTTTGTCGTCAGAGATACATAGACGAAAGACGGTTGAGGAAAGGAGGAAACCGAACGCAGATAGATCACCAGCTGATCGAGGCGCTGCCAACGCAGCCGAGGTTACGAATTACGCTGAGGCTGTGTGTGTTCTTCGTACTCTTGTCTTTTGGCTACAATTGTATGTATAGTGTAAACTAAACACCGTCCCGATCCCTGCTCAGTACTTCTTTGCATCCGTTGTTAGGAAACGTACATAATTCAATCAAAGAAAGGCTACCCGTTTTGAGATATAACTACAGTCGAAGGGGATGGGTTAAAGTGTTAACAGCAGTGAATTCGGAAAAACCTGCTGGATACTGGGCGTGCCTTCTTATTTTGAGTCTATTTGAGAGCCCATACACTGAATTTGGTCACACTGTCGCGGACGCCTTCAGTGTTCACAGCAATGTTTTTTTCACGTACCTAAGACGAATCATAAAAGATAAGTGAAAGGACCCAGAGTCCTCTACTAAGTCTCCTCTACGGTCGCGTTCGCGTCCATTATCTATGTACATACTCCGTTTGCTGGGTCCGCTGTACCCGACTGTCGAGCGTATCCCAGAACGCCTGTTTTCGTCCTTGCTGGCCCTAGCCGGTGCGTACGCAGCAAAGAAGTTCACCGCTCCGCTCGTCACGCATTTGCGCAGCGGTTCTCCCGTACGAAACAAATTTACGGCATGAAAACTGCGTAGGAGCATAGACTACGTGGGAATGCCTCTGAGGTCTCTTGCTGATGTTTTGAAGGCGTGGTTTGTGCGATGAGCATGGGGGTGTACTCACAGTCGTGCATGCCGCAGTCGTTCGACCAATGGCCTCGCATCCCTACAAAGCCGAGACGGAGCACGCCTGGTTCTCATCTGACCAGGCTCTCACATCACCAAGCTCGAAAGGCCGTGAGGTATTCGCCAGTCGCATTAAGGGTGCGCTGCATCCTGGTAAAGGTGTTCGGCATCTTGTGCTTGCTTCCTTGCATACGGATGACAGCTGCGAATGACTAGTTTATGTTCTGGTGCTCTCACTGCCGGAGACAGTCATATGCACTGCGTAACTGCCTCGAGGGTGCTTTACCATCTTAACACAACGTGGTGCGATCATCCCCTTAACGCGGAGTGAGGGCTCTCGACCCCGCACAACAGATTCTACTCGACCGCGATGAGCACGGGCGGTGGCAAAAATGTACCCCAACTGTTTCGCAGCAAAAATATATGAGACGGGTTGGGGAGGCTCGTGATATACCTCCTTTAAATTCATCGTAGCATTTTTGCAATTACGTGGACAAGCGACAAGGATGTGTTGTCTATCTATGACTTTCTGATATGGGAGCCCGGAATCATGCATTGTATGGTTAGGTGTGCTCTAGTTTGCTCCTGACGTTTCCACTCTGAGAGAGAGCAGTCAGTCCTTTTGGTGACCCCGACGGGGGGTTCACCTCATGTTATTTTTTCTGTTGATGACACCTCCAACCACGGTCCCTCTCGTGCGCAAAGTCCATGGGACACTCCATCTTCCCGTCCTGTCTTGCTTGCGTCTATTTGACTATGCCGTGCAATGAAATCAGGGAAAACCAGCGGGCGCGCTCTCAAGGCAGATTTGGATCCCAGAGCGCACGATAGTGCGGCCTAACCTTAATGCGTTACACTGCACAAACGATACAGGTCTGGGTTCTTTGTGGATGGAGACGCACCTCAACGTGATGAGGTGTGCGCGGCTGTCGCAGCTCTCAAGAGGGCGGCGGAACAGTTTGGTGAGCATGATGCTAAGCACGTTTTGTTTGGTTTGGCCAGTGGGAATTGGCAGTGCCTTTGTAGTCCGTAGCGACAGTAAACCTCTTTGTTGAGACTCCAATGCTTCTGGTCCTCTCCTCGCATGTGGTTCGATCAACTCTCTATGGCGAGATCAGAACTGGCCAACTAACCAACCTTTGACATCGGTGGTGGGACATACCGATAGAGCCGCAGCGGCACAGCGGACAGAGAGGCGGACGCCAACGGCGGCATGAGTAGACGTGAAGAGCCTCTGCTACAGCATAGCCGACACGGCAATCGCTCCGAAATCTCGCCTCGTACAGAAACTTAGAAAGTATATGTACGCAACATCCGGAGCAGGCACACCCTGTAGGTTTCGCTGTTATTGGCTCTCGCACTTGAAACCTTGCACTCTCTAACCACACTATCCCGTTACCATGGTAATTTACAGGCCAGCGAGCTAGAGTGAGGCGAGAAAAATATGGGTTTCACTCGGTAGATGTGTCACCTCCGGAAGTTGCACGTCTCGAGCGCACAAGGGGTACATGCATGCCTTGCTGATACATCCGCTTGCTTTATTCGTGCTGACGTGGCTTATGGATCTGCGCTGTCGTTCTTTTTGCCCGTTGGCTGGTGCGATTCTTCCGTTGTGCTCTAGCTGCAACTCTCGGCCAACTGGATTGTCCTGTGCTTCACATCTCGGGGGAAAGCCACCTCTTTTCTTGCTACGACCTTGGAGAGAGTGTAAGTGTATTGTTTGTTGTGAGAAGTAAGGCCGCACACTATTTGCAATCCCCATCTCTGCAGTAACTGACGTGCCCTTGTTGTTTTCTATTTTCCTTCAGTTGTCTCCAACACTCACTTGTATCACCGACCCATGGTCAATAGTTGGAATGCGTACGCGGTGCAGAGGGCAAAACGAGAGGGATGTGGACGGAAGACACTCGATTTGCAGTGCCGGTAACATGCAAAGCCAGAATAATATTTGCCTGCTCCTATTGGACTACAGAAGGACGAGGGCGGTGTGTCTGACTGGTAGTGATGATGAAGTCATTTCGGTGACTGCAGAGCATGAACAAATGAAAAAGGGAGAGGAGGCACTGAAACATCATGTGGACATGCCAGATACATTGGTAGGAGACGGGCAAAGCGGGGAGATTGGAGAGCAAGATAGAGAGGACAGGGACGTATGAAGCCTCATATTTTGACACCCATCACGTACAACCTCGAAATCGATGAAGCGTTGATTGTGTTAAGATGAAGGCTAATCCATTAGGCTGACTAAGTAGTCTTATGGATTAGCTTATGGATTAGGCTTTATCCAACGAAAGTTTATGGCCTAAGGTTCTTGGCCGCCCAGCTGTTGAGGTTGCTCGTTCACACCATCAGAGAGAACGCAATACGCACACATTCTGACATCCAGATGTTATTGGCGCGTATGATAGTCCCTGCGACGCCACATGTTGAAATGAGCTGCAGCGAAGTCCGTGCTGGCCCTTCTGTTGGCGTTCGAGTAGAGGTGCTGTGTGTTGATGACTTTCTCTTCGGTTGTAAGCGAGTAAACCCCGAATGCCCCTTGGGCGCTTGGTCGTATTGTGTGCTATCGTTTGTGTTTTCGCCGTTGCCGCTCCGTGCCACGTTCAGCTGCGGACCAACTGCACCGCTGTTTAAGTTTTATCAGCACAATCTTAGAGTTTACGTTCGCTTCACCACAAAAGGTCTTGGCGCGTCCGGCAAATTAAGTAGCTCGTGTAAGGGTCTTCCACGAGGGACCACGTTCCAAAAATCGAAAAATGCTCTGTGGTGTTTATATTCTTTCCCTGGGCGGAGAAAGAGGCAAGTTCGTAACGTAGCCAGAACCCGCAGGCAACTGAATAGTCCGTTCCAACCCTAATGCCGCGCCTAACCCTCCAATCTTGCTTGTACCGTTCGCGGCGTCCTCGGGGGTTATCGTTCGACAGGTGTTGGCGTTTTATTCGCAGATGAGCAGCGACAACCTCCGATCGTTCAACACGCACGATGCAGATGTCCGGTTACGAGATATTTTGGCAGACATCAAGCTCCTCCTGACCGGAGCCGTATTATTGTCGCCAGGAGCAAACCATTCCCCGCCCGTGTCAGCTTCTGATCGTCGTGGAATGGTGTAAATTTCAAGTTCTTTCCGTATATATTTTTTTGTGTAGCACACGATTCCCGGAGACTGGTTTGTGAACGGAAAATTGCACTTGGCAGCACCACTTGTACAAAAAGGGAGGCTCACTGGCGAGGCGTGACGGATGAAAGTAGGCATGTTTGGCACACCATTTTTTAAGCAGGGAAGCATCCTTCCCGCTACACGTTTTCCGCGCGTCGGATATGGGTTACATCGATGCAGCACCTCAAACCAAGAAGTGTCCCCACGCGTTGCCCGTTGCACATTACATTCGAGTGTATGCTTCTACTCCTCTCACATAACACAATTTCAAGTCGGCGTCTTCAGCCAGAGAGATTATGGTGGTTGTATACAATCAATGCTGGGTAAAACAAGTATCAGATCTCACACGTCATCTCTCTCGGTCGGCCATACGTTCATACATGGCACGCGAAGTTTGGCTGCGGACAATCCGCCTTAAAACAAATTTTTGGTACTATCACTTGGACGCTCCATCTCTGGGCCAGATTCGTCAACAGATGGTTCGTCGCGTTCCATGGCCTCGTACGAAGCGCAGCCCACACACGCATGGAGTTCTGAAGCGATTTCGCTCGGTTCCTTCCCCTTTGTTTCTGGAACCAGCGCGTAGACGAACACGGTGGAGGATAACGCTACGCTGCCGAACAAAGCAAACGTCACGAACCCGCCCATGGAATCAAGGAGTTGCAAGAAAAATGCGGAGGCAACAAGGCCCCCCAAAAAAGAGCCCGTCTGCCCTATTCCAAGGGCCTTGCCCCTAACGCCCGCAGGAAACATCTCGGCTGTTACCAACCACGTGACTGGCCCAAAGCTGAGGCTATAACACGACACCATTGCACAGCAAGCCAAAAACGACAGGAGAGGTTGGCCGTTCTTGAATGACACACTCAGAAGACAGAGGCTGATGGTGCAACCGCCAGCGCCCCACAACAGAAAGGGCCTTCGGCCTACCTGGTCAACCTGAGAGAGAGAGAGCAGTCAGTGCACCACATCCAAGAATTGTTGGTCAAGCAAGATCAAGGCGTGTTCATCATGCCCTACGGGGCGATGCCGAACAAATTATGCCACGAGTCTGCAGACAATACTGAGGACCGCTCGGTGTAGCCAGCAGCCCGTTATCACTCACGCACATCAAAGCTCACTGGCGTGCACCTCTCGTACAACGAGCTCGAGACAGCTCTAGCTAGAATTGCACCACATACGTCTTGCGGGTACGTTGCAACTCACCCACGTGATGGCGATGATTGTAGACAAAACCTTCGCCATCCCTAACACAACAGCCGGTGCTCCTGCGTTGAATCCTGCTGCCCTCAATATTGCCACGTTGAAATTGAGGACGTTCGCCTGCCCACCGAGTTGCTGGAAAACAGAAAGAGCTGTTGTCACCAAGAGCGGAATTCTCCACTCAGTTGTGAGTTCCATCAGACTGCCCTTCGCATCCCGGTCAAAGCGCTCGATCTGACGAAGTTCCGTCTCCACATCGTCCCGGGAATTTCGAATCTTGAGGAGAATGTTTGTGGCCTCTTCACGCCTCTTCTGGGTCAAAAGCCACCTTGGGCTCCGAGGCATGAACCACACCATCAACACGAGCTGAGCAGCAGCCAACCATGCCGACAACCCAAACAGGATCCGCCATCCTCCTGGAGATAATGAAAACAGATTCGGCGTTGAGGTGGTGTAATAGTAGAAAGGAGTTAACCGTGAAGGAACCATGCCGCACATCAAGTTATGTTTATGCATAGAAAAGTCCCAGGCTAAACTGTCATGGCACCACCCGAGACGCTCACTCATGCTATCGACAGCAGCAGGCCTGGCGCAGCTTTTTCCCTGGTCAGCTAGACAGCATGGTCAACGCAGAACTCACCGTGAACATCCTGAAAAACCTCCCCAGCAAAAAAGGCCGCAAGCATTCCGATCGAGATGGCCAGCTCGTTGCAAGACACCATAGAGCCGCGCAAGGTCCGAGGCGCAACTTCGGCGAGGTACGAAACATCTGCTACCGCAGACACCGAAATCGACACCCCAACGATGAAGCGTCCCGCCAATACAACACCTGGCAGGAACCGGTTATTCCGTGGGGGGCACTTAGTCTCGTCCGGTTCCTGTTGAGCCACGGAAATACATCTACAACGCTACATACCCCGAAACGCCCCCTCACCCATCGCGTAAGCAGAATAGACAAACGGCAGCTCTTCATCACCGACCAGGACGGATTGAAATAGGCAGCCAAAGCCAACAAAGCACTGCTGACGGAACGTAAACACATCTCGATATGTGCAACATATCTGCCTCTAACATGCCTTGAGGACACCCAACAACACCCGAACCTGTGCCCCTAGGAGAGCAAGTGTCGAGTATACGCTCTTTCAACCGCACGGACCTGGGGTTGTAGCGAAAAATAACACCACGCCGCCTGCGATAAACGCTAAGTCGGTGAGGACTATGGTCAGCCAACGCCCGAGTCTGTCCGTCAAAAGTCCTGCCACTAGCGATCCAGCCACGGCACCCATCACCATTGTAGACACGACCATGTCTTGCATTCCCAAGCTGAAACCCATGTCACGTTCCAGCTGCGGTAGTACTGGTGCAGTCACCTGTACAATGAATGGATCCAACTCTTTTGTCACTAGCTTGTAGCAGGGCATACACCTTGTATGAATCGCGCGTTCATTCGTTCAGAACGAGACCAAATCAAAGGGGGATACACGCGCACCCCTGTCATCATATGTGCTCCTACATCGACACGTCGTTGTTTCAATACGGCCCTCACTTGTTCGTCGTTGTCGTTGTCGTTGTTTTTGTCTTCACATTAAAAACGGTTCCGGTCTACACTGAGTACCTGCCCATGTCCGTACTGGTCCAACTGACGCGGACGCCTTCCGTAGTCACAAGCCAACTGCCCCCCATAAGCGTGGGGGGGTACACCTTTCTAAAACAAAAGAACAAAAATGGACACCAAAAAATTCCTCCAAGGCGCGATTTGCTATCCAACCGAACAGAGATCAACAGCAGTACGGCAAACCATGATCGGGATAAAGAGACGATCGACGACCCCGTTCGTAGGAGGTCAAATACAAGTTGCGACGAATGCCACGATTAAAGTCAAGTTTATCGTATCACTGGGGTGCCATGAGCGAACGGAAAGCCATTGCGAGGATCCGTACGGACCCTCAGAACTCCTCCTGCACCGATGGAACTGCAAAACAAATAAACGCAAGCAGGAATGCGCACGATGAGAGCGAGAATAACGCCGAGCACGCACACACCCCAATGTCGTATCCAAATAAAAATCCGCCGATGGATGCAACGGTGGCTGCTTTCGCTGCGAAGATCTTCGAACTACGGTTGAGGAGTCTCCACTCGTTCCAGAGGCCACGGCCTTCGCTAGACTGGATGTAAACGGGGGGAGCAAAAATGTGCGCGAGGTGGGAACGAAGTATTGTTGGAACACTCGACAACATTCGCGTGGAAAATTGCTGAAAACGAGCGGTTACAGTCCAGACCATTAATCTCCAGCAACACTGTAGTTGAAGGCGATCTAGGTCGTGAGTGAACACACTTCGGCTTCACGGCCGACGAGGGAAAGGGATGGCTGGACTCTTCTCGCGATAAAAACCAAGGCGACCACCGCAGGGGGGAATGTAGGGCAAAAAAACAGAAAAAATAAATGAAAAAAGCTCCTGTGTGACCTCCCTCTTAAGTGACCCCGGCTGATACGTCACGCCGAAAGGTCTGTAAGCCGGCGCCAGAATAGCACACATATAATGCGGTTACTAAGCCCTAGAGGCAAGGCCATGAGGTAGTTCGAAGCTGCGAGCGGAAAATCAACGGGGTGACAAAAATACAACACTACCGACACGAGAAACGGGCTTCTGTCGTTGTTCACCGAAAACTGGACACTGATGGGAATGGGTAGGAGGGAACACAACCACGTGGCGGATTCGTACAGTATACGCTTGAGAGACGTTTCCTTCACAGCAACGGGTGGTTGTTCCTGGTGTGCCCTGATGCCCCTTGAAAAAATTCCAATCCGTTTAGGATTGGTTTCAGCTTCGGAAAAACAAAACTATAAGGAGTCAATCCTGACCGGAGATTTTTGACCGGAGAAAGTTGAACGCGGCCGATTTCTCTCGGCTCGCGAAAGCTACGAGCATGAGACCGCGGCGGTGCCTTCGCGAGACCTACCCCTCGAGGGCCCTGTCGAAGGAATTTCAATCGAAGCGACACCGGCGCCAAACCCAAGCGTGTTGTCTCGCTCAAAACCCCTTTAACTTGTTTTAGTGTGGACACCGGTTTGCTCTGCTTGTCCGCGGCTGAATTCTTTGAGCTCAACAACGCCACAAACCGCCACGACGACGACGTTCGCGGCCATGCCTGCCCACACCCAAGCCCTCGCCAGCACGGCGAGCGTTTCAACTCGCGTCACACGCAGCGCAGCGAACAAGTACAATATTCCTCCAAATCAGAGGCGCTGAGGCGCCTCTTGGGCAACCCCTTGCACTTTTTCGCCACGGCGTGCCCCACAACCGAGCAAGATACAGCCCCATGCTGGTCGCGGCTCGATGCGCTAGGACGAAAAAGGCGTGAACGCAAGTCTCGGCAAAGACGGTGTCGAGGGGAGCGAACAACGCAATAAACACCGTTTCGGCTGATTTGCGGTTCGAGCTGCGCTGCGCTGCCCAGCACACGAAAATTTTGCCGCGTCGATAACTCCGCATCCTGCTCACGAAAATCCACAAAACTCGGACAGTCAACGCAAACACTGTCCACACATGTGTGTGTCAATTTACAACGCCATCAGACCTAGACCTGCACGCCGCCCGTGACAGCATGTCGTCATCCGCACGCTGACCTCTCACGGCACAACATAATCACCCCGCAACAATTCGCAATCTCTCAACACATACTCAGTCCCTCGACAAAAATCTTCCATCTTTGTGAGCTAGAACTACACTGCGGTCGATGCTCACCCCTTGGCACACCCCGTAGCTCGGATCACGAGCTACAAGCTAGGTTTGTGCTAAGACGCAAAATGCAACGCATGGACCACGGGGGTATACATTTCCCGTCACATGCCCCCTCCGGCCCCGTGCTGCTGGTCCAGCTGCCGCTACCCTGCATAGCTCCATCGCAAAACGCTGGAACGGGCCTTTCGGCATCATTTCGCTGCCAATTTGCAAAGTAAGCATCTCCCGACAACGAGCATCGAAAGGGCTGCCTGCGCATCTCTTCAAGCGGAGCGTTGATGCTTGTAACCGACGAAACCATATGCGCCAAACTACACCTGATGACCAAGCTTGACTTTTGATTTTGGTGACTATGACGCTCTCCCTTCCGCTTCCCTTTTTTCCGCCGCGTTTCACCCGCCAGAGGTATTTTGTACCCTTCTGTCCACCTCCTTCGCGAAACGCTGCAACTACCGTTGCACCCTCATTTCGCTGCCAGCCGAGAAAGTAAGCAGCTCCCGAAAACGAGCATCGAAAGGTCGACCTGTGCATGCCCGCATCTTTGGCTATCGACAGCTGTGGCGGTCAAAACCGGATTTCAAATGTACCTGCCAGCAGCCCTCTCTTAGCCTCCTCTCTGCAACTTTTTGATAACTTGAACCGTCCGAGGGGCGAGTCATGCCCATGGCGTCACCCTCCCACAAGCAATCACCTTGTGATACAGCAGTGGTCCCTATATCTAATTCTTAGGTAGAGAGTCGGCCGTGCGTTATACAGCTCTAGCATACCTGTGTGTGTGTCACACTCCTTACTATTGTTGCGTGTCGGGTATGTAGTATAGTCTCCAATTGACTGTACTCTGTTCTCAGGTAATTGTATGCATAGCACACCGAAGCCTTTTTTGGTCTCTCTGCTGTCGATGAACCCTTCCAAATATATTTTCAAAATATAAATCCATGGCATTCTTCTCGACATGATGACCGCTCGCCGTTGTGCTGATGCATGCACGCATGCATGCACTCGACTGCCGGTACTACTGCACTGCTGTATGTACTACTGCTGGACATCACCACACACACTTGTACATACTGCTGTGCGTACCTGCACATCTACCAGCGCCTACAGTAGTACAGCTCCAACGCGGACATGCTGTTATAGATTCATCCGGTGTATGCACTACTAGTGCTGTAGACTACCATTCCTCATTCCTCCTCCTACTGCTGCTATGCACGCCTTTGCACAGAACACACGTCCGTCCAAGGAACACATGGTACTCTATGTTAGATCCGCCCTTGGCCCGGCCTTTGAATTCGCGCGCAGCGCCGACTTAGTCGGACTGGTTAAGACGAACGAAGCGAGTATTTCGCCCGCCGCGACGGATTTTTTTTGTTCGTCATGATACATCTTACACGTCTACATGCGTCTCTGGTTCGTCCAAGCACGTCTTGTATGCGTCTTGGCACGTCTAAAATGTGTCTTCAGCACGCTTGATGCCGACCAAAATGCTTTTGCACGCCCCCTATCTATGCACATTGAGCTCTACGCCCATACACGCTGACAGACTGTAGTATTATCTCGAATGGGTAGTCTTTCTGTGTTTGTATTTGTGATTCCTAATGCTTGCTCCATAGTTTTCCGTTTCTTGATAAGAGGGCAATCGAAGTAATGAATTAAAGTTAAACAATACGAGGTATTTTCCATCTATGCCAGTCAACAGTCAACATCAGAATATACAACAAAAAGACGCAGTAGGAAGTACTATCTGATGACTATGTACAGCAATACTCTCCGTTGATGGTTCACAGAAGAACCGGAGTGAACAGCAAAAAAACACAAAAACCAGCACGCTTTTGTAAAAAAAAAGACACAGCGCCGCGTCCCCTGTGAAGTTTACACTTAGTTATGATATGGAGTAAATGTTTTGACACACGACATGGAATAGTAACGGAGGGCTTTAGACTCCTCCCCAATATTTTTTGTGTTGACCAGTAGGGAAACAGGGAACATGTACAGTCGACCTCGCTTTAAAGAAATACCACGTTTTCCCCCCCAAAAGTGTCTTTAACGCGGGGAAGTGTCTTCAAATTTCCGGGGCCACTAACGCACCATCCCCGGGGCCAATGAAGGCGAAACATATCTCAAAAGGTGCGCATTCGCAGCGGAAAGGCGACAACAAGAGGTGTTGTTTGAAACATACGACACAAGGTGATTTGAAGGTCGCAACCACCGCTGCTATTGTGCTGCAATACATACTTGCATACCATCGTTTGAATTTCCCTGTGCTGTACCACCAAAACGCTGAAATCGATAGTGTTCTACGACCTACGCATCGTGCATGTACACGACGGTAGTGCGCTGGTGTTGATATGGGCTTAATTGTTTGCTTTATTTTAATTTTTAGGCGTTGTCCTCCCCGTGAATATCTTGCCCGAGATCTCGCTACCGCACCTGAGAAATATCGAAGGTTGTAAAACGACACTAGTAAATTGTAGGTTACGCAGAAACACAGACCAAAAAATTCTGGAAAGCACAGCGACAAAGAGGACACCGCGCCTCCCAAAAGGTCAAAATGAGGCACAACATAACACAAACGGCAAATTCAACCTCACGAGACTTCACCCAAGGCAAACAACGAACGTTGGCAATAAAAGTGCTTTGCTCTCGAAACCAAAAACTACACCCGCCACATATCCCGAAGATTCGCCTGCACCTCCCCCCCCCTCCTTTGCTCTTCGCTTGACCTGAGTTTCATCAGTAAACGAATGCACAGCAGTCTTCGAAATAAGTACGCCGTTTCGCTGTACTCGCCGTCTCTTCCATGTGTGTACAAGTCAGAGCGTACATCTTCGAGACGAGAGCGAACTACAGGTGCTGCAGCACATTTTCTGGGGGGGGGGTCGAATGGTGGAAAACCCTACCCCCCCTATTTTTCACATCTGCGGGGCACCATGCTTCTGAGATTTTTGTGTCCTTAAAGCGGGGAGTGTCTTTAAAAATGGTGTNCAGTAAACGAATGCACAGCAGTCTTCGAAATAAGTACGCCGTTTCGCTGTACTCGCCGTCTCTTCCATGTGTGTACAAGTCAGAGCGTACATCTTCGAGACGAGAGCGAACTACAGGTGCTGCAGCACATTTTCTGGGGGGGGGGTCGAATGGTGGAAAACCCTACCCCCCCTATTTTTCACATCTGCGGGGCACCATGCTTCTGAGATTTTTGTGTCCTTAAAGCGGGGAGTGTCTTTAAAAATGGTGTCTTTAAAGCGGGGACGACTGTATTGATTTTTCAAAGAACCGTTGCAAGATGCGGTGGTAATAATCTGAGTACGTATCCGCGGGAGTGCCAGCAATTAGGCGCACACGCCAGTTGCAACGTAGCAAGCAGCCAAACACATAATTACCAATCTGGACGAGCCCTTCGTGGTTTAGTCAGGCTCTTAAACGAGCCACGAGAGATAACTCCACACCTACACTAATATAAGAGATAACACGACACCTATACTAACACGTAGTGTGGT